CAACTAAGCACGTTTACAGAAGGATTGCGTTAGCTAGGATCAAAAAATTTGAAGGTATTCTTATTTTGAACGTTTGATTAGTAAATTGTTGACCTATGAGGTGAATTCTCAATTTCGAAGGGGTTTTTTTGTCATAGTAAAGAGATTTGCTCTATGCATGATGAAGCCATGGACTATTGCAAATTTATTCGGTCCAGCTCAACAGAAAGGTACTGAAACGATGCTGCGTGCGCGATGACCTCATTATATTGGCGCGTGAATCGCGCGCCCCCCACAGGCCCTCGTCTTCTATGGCTTCTTATCAGTTCCTATTACTTGGTATCATACCCTGTCACCAACTATTGACGGTCCCATCACATCCTACATCACCTACCAAGGCACCAAGGCTTCATCGCTATTACGAAGGGAGTTACGGACCCTTTGGCTTTTACCTTTCAAGACTTCTTATCAGTTTCTACTGACTCTTGTCACTTCCTATCACTTACCATCGCTGTTCTCATCGTACCCCTATCTCTCTTTCAAATTTGAATGCGTTAGCTACAGTGAGACAGGAGTTAAGAATTTTCGGTCGGACAAACACACACACACATACTCACATACACACACACAAACACACAACATACACACTTAGCCGATTATATAAGTAGGATATACACCGCTATATATCTTCATGTACCTAATTTTTATGCACAAAACTCATGGATGTCCGATAAGGACTTATAGTTTTCATGACCATTCCATGATTTCATGCAAAATACAAGGAATTGTGGAAACAAAGTGTTCGGTTACAAGAAAAAATTCAATCCTAATTAGTTGAAACCGTGCAACATACATTGGAGCTCGAACCTGCATCGAATGAGATTGCGTTCGATCTCGGGATCAGATGGGTGATCCGAATGTAGAGTACCTTTCCAATTTCCAACTTTATTTAATGGGTTCAAAAGTCTGGTCCTAACAAATTGATCTTATTGTGTTATTGAGCGTACCCTAAGCACGAGTATGATTTACATTCAAGCTGGAATTATCTTGCTTTACTAGCAATTACATTGTGGACGGCCCCATGTCTCATTCCGGCCTGGAATGAATGAACGATTTAATGAAAAGCCACTCTGAAAGACTCTGTTGCCTCCATTTAAGTAGTGGCACACCGAAAATAGCATTTTACTCGTTCTGAGGCAGTTTGAAAGATAAAGGTGTTCAGAAAGAGTGAAGTTGTGCTCCTCAAAAACGTGATACGTAAAACCGTATCGTTTCATATCCTACTTTGCGTATCGAGAAAGACCACAAATCGATAAAGAGGCTCTTTTGGCAGTGCGTATGATGCAGTGGAGGGAAACTGCTCATTTGCGCTCTCTTCCTTGCACAGACCTGGATTTCACACTCTATATCTCAAGGTCTTTCTTCTTCGATTGCTTATCCACTTCACGAGATGCCTGCATTTCATTGAGGGGAATTTTTCTTCAAGTGATTGTGCTCAGACGCCAATAAGAGAGAATGTTTGTCTAAAACTTAATGTTTGTTACTACGTAGTTCTGAAGAAGGGTCCCAAAAAACCTTCCCCGTAGCGATAGTACAGGAAGGAATTTTGCTTGTTAGCTGGTTTGGTGTTTCATTGTTATAAATGCTGTCATGAAAAACGTTCTGCCCTTCCCTATCAGCCTTCTAAGTTCTTTCGAAAAAGTGATGACCTAGCATGTTCTGTAGCACGACTACCGACCTTCGAGAGCCTCAAGGTAAGATTTTCTCTAGCTGAATACTTGTCCTCAAGCGATACGGTTTGCTGAGAACGAGGTCAACATTGATTTTTATAATATTTTCAACTGCACATTATGAAGGATTGTTGGAACAGACTAAAACTGTGAAAATCATATTTGGTGTGCAGTATTCGCAGCCTTGCATCAGCTAGCGTGTTGTTTTGGCGTTGCGAGTATAAATCCCTTCGATGAAGGAAACAATTTGTTGACACTAGGCTTGGGCAAGTTTTATGGCGAAGGGTATTTTCTCTTCAACGCAGCTGGGTAGATTCAAGGCCCAAGAGCAGTCAGAACTTCGACATCGAATACTTCGGAACTCAAATGGAAAAACAGCGATCTCGTCGCCATAGCAACGCACCGCTATCTTTATCTACAATTGCATTCGCATAACTGTACGTATGAGAACACCTGTTTTAAGCAGTGAATAGAATAGGAAACTAACGTATCACAGCAGGTATAAGGTGAAATATGAAGTGAAGAACCTTTGTTCTGAAATGTGTTGTACTATTTTGAAGTTTCTGGGAAAGGCTAATTTTAGCAATATTCTCAAATTGCTCCACCTCTCTGGAGGAGGAAGTGAAATCAAACAGTTTATAGAAAAAGAGAGCTTGATTTCAGTTAAAATGGTTGTTGACTGGAACGGAAACATAGTGGTTAAAAGACGAACCTCAATTGTTGTCATTAATGGATGGTCACAGTGCCAGCAAACCACTGAGATAGTGCCTAGCTGTTTTTCAGTGACAGCATAAATAACCAGCTGTACGTGCTTTTTGCTGAGATTTTCAGTAACGTTGTTTTGTGCACTGGACATGTGCCATGAAAAATAATTCCTAAACAAAGAAGTTAAAGTTCATGATATCTGTGACGTTGGCGCTATTATTTTGGCTTATTTTAGTCTCGACCTTGATCGATTAGCTCGATGTCACTGAATTTTACTCCTACTGCAACACGTTACGACCGTCGAATTTACCTATGTGCAAAAAGTTCAGTTGTTGGCGCAGAAATATTCACGTCGATTGTGATTGTGTCGCCTGGGACACATTCGATGTAAGGTTCTGTCATTATGGTGCCCCGAACGCAATGTGAGAATGAGCACTGGAATGTTTCAGGCAGTATCGGAGTAACAGCATAGGTTGAATAGTGTTGCGATGAAATCAGCCATTCATTGGTGCAGCTACAGTCCAGTGGGCAACTTCTTAAGTCGACAGATAATGTTTTGCCGTTTACGTAAAGGCTCTGCCACGGTATCTCCGATAATTCACAATCCAATAGTTCAATGCTAATCAAATGAACAAAATTTTCAAAAGCGAAGGCTGGCAAAGATCCATTGCAGTGAATACCAATGTGCTCAACTGCAGACGAAGTAATAGATGGTGGTGCTTGGTCGCATTGCTCCAGATTCAATGAGCGCAAAGACTTGCTGTAGTTAGATGATGTCAGATGAAAGTCTGATAAGTTGGTACACAGTAGAGAAGAATTCGTTAGAATTTCACATGAATTGGTCCGAGCAACTAGGAGGAGCGTCCAGAACATAATCTCATGATAGAGTTGCAGTCAATAAAGGAAGCAGGCCGAACAACGTCAATTTTGTTGCGCTGAAGCGGCGATGGTGAACAAACGAAAGCTGAAGCACGCCTCCGCCTGAGCTGAAATCGACACATAGGGCGGGGCTTGCCTGGCGCTCATTAACCGACAAGCCTTCGATGCTCGGCTTTATAGATTTGAACGCACTTTGGAAGGGACGCGGCGTATTTTTTCCAGAAAGCAATACTTAGTGATGAACACGGATGGCTCTCAAAGAAATGATGAGCTCGAAGGGTTCGGATCTACAACAGTTCCTCCGAATGCAACGTGAACTCAATTTCAGCGATGCGTTTTTATGAATTCAAAATAAGTACTAGTCATTTACACAAACGGCCACTGTTCCATTTTTAACGCGAGTTCCAGAAGCGATGTTGATGATGACTTCAAATGCATGAGCACGTGCGCGATGCTGGAGCACGTGCACGATGCGAAAAATTCAAAAATTTGCAGTGCAACTTTTTCGTTACAGAGCTCAACTTTTGTAGGAACAAACAAGTTTTATTTCTCGTTCTTTTTTTTTATTTCTTGAAAGACCGAAGGAAAGTGGTGGAGGTGGTGCGTATGTGATGGTTCTGTACTCGAGTAGCGCATTTTGAAAGTGCGTGAAAGAGCTAACCTGTTACTAGTGTTCCGGTGAGTTTTTTGATGTTTGTGTTTAGATAAGGAAGCATATGCAGCAGGGTGTAATAACATAATATAAAATCAAGATTGTCACAGCTCTCGGAGCCTTTTAAAAGGTCTGATGATACTACTGGTGGGAGCTGGATATGCTTAGGTTGACTTCACTGCTCAAGAAGTGTGGCTCACAGAAATTCATCTTCAGAAAGCGAATGGCGCATTAGAAGGGTCGTTGAGTTCGCATTGGTTGTTAGGCCAGAGGGGAGTTCAGAAACCATCTTGATATTGTTATTTGCTTGAACAATTTCTTTACTAAAACAAAGAATATCCTTCAACCTTTGCATGCTGAATATTTCACAGAGGCATAACAGAACAGGGAAATGTTTTGAATAAAAAGTCTGTTACGCGGTGAAGCATGATAGTGGAAGTAGAAGCATTCGTTACTGCATATCGGGACTTCAACTCCTGCTCCCACGCCAAAATTTCTTCACCACTACTTTGCACGTTATAACGTTGTATCCGTTCAAATCACTCTATAGTATTTATAAAATATAAGTATTTATAAAATCCTAATATCCAGTTTCAGCGCTCACTCTCTCTCTTGCAAAAGAAGTCAACTTCAACAGTAATAGTAGACCTATTATATAATATAAGAATTATAACTCGCCAGTTGGGCTACGCTAACGCGTGCATTATACGTACATGACGGCTCATCTCGATGGAGTCATTCAGCGGAATGTTGGATTATCAGAATAAGATCGTTCTCTCTAGATTCGAAAGGTGAACTGCTTTAGGAGTATTACGCTCGATATATTTCATCTGAGCAGAATTATTAGTGGTTGATCATAGCCCTGGCCATCTCAAAGCAGACCCTTCTCACTATGAAAATTCGGCCACAATTATTTTAATTGCTTCTAACCATTTTCCCCGCATTCTAAAGAGTTCCTGAACAGAGTTATGAATTTTTCGCCTTAACCTCGCCTACACTGTGCAATCCCGCCCACTTCGGCGATTTAATCATATTTGTTTCATTACCTCTACTTCTTTCCTGCGTTTCAGAACGTTTCTGAACAGAGGTACAACTTTTGACCTAAGCTCCGCCCACTTTAGGGCTAAGCCCACATAATTTGAGTGTTCCACCCACATTTGTTTCAGAAGTTTTAAACACCTTTTTTCCTCATTCTAGCACGCTTCTGAAAAGAATCATGAGATTCTAATCTTAGCCTCGCCTATTTTTTTGCAAACTCCGCACAATTCTGTTATTCGACCAATTGTTTTAAAAGTTCTGAACACCTTTTGCCCGCACCCCAGAACGTTTCTGAATAGAGTTATGAATTTTTTATCTAAGCCAAGTCCACTTCAGCGTCGACCCCGCCCACTACTGGGATTTTACCACATTTGTTCTATTACATCTTACCACTTTCTTCCCACTTCCCAGAACATTTCTGAAGAGGGATATTTACTTTTGGAAGGGTGGCATCGATTTAAACGCCCATCGTGGGCAGAGCCTCACTAAGTTGGCCTCAAAGCCCTCGATGAGTAGGGTTTTGAACTTATGTGGGAAGTACCGCCCACTGCGAGAACGCTCCGCACCACTGATGAGTCTCCCTCACTTCATTTGTTGGCCCATCCCTCGCCTTTGGTCATTTTTTCCGGCGTCTGGACTGTCACAAGACCGAATAAGAAAGATCTGTCCGAGACACCGCCCACTTCTGTGCATGTCTCGATCCCTGTGGGCGGAGCTCCGCTGAGCTCACGTGTGCTCTGCTGGTCTTTCTCCATGCTCAACCCATTCCAAACTTGACCCGACCTCTTTGGATGTTTCTTCAGGTAGTACCAAATTTTGTGATAGGCAGTCAAACAGAAAAATAGGCAGACAGGCAGACAGATGCGAGCGCTTTGCATATATGTAGTAGGGTAAGGTAAATCAACTATACATCATACCATTTGACCGCTTCTTCTTCTACGCCTTTGTTTTACATGTAACCCTGAAGTTGCACTATTACCTTATTTTGCGTGTTTCTCTAGTTACGATTACATGTGTTCCTTGTATTTATCCCGTTATTTAAGTTTGTTCTAGGAGGTTGATATCCTCTTATACTACGTGTGCCTTAGCAGCGTAATGAACATATCATAACATAACATAACATAACATACATATACGGATGATGAAGTAGGGTATTATCTTATATAGATGTCCTGCTCACCAATCTGCTCGCCTTCTTGGGCAAGTAGGCCAAAGAATTCATGTTATCAAACTCACCAGTTGGGCTCCGAGCACCAACGCGTGCGTCACAGCAAAGAGCGCGTCTAACAGAGATGAATTTTTGAATCTCAACTCCAGCCTTCGAGAATCTGCCTATATGTAGGCGGTAGTAAGGTTCATGCGAAAAGTTCGAGAACTCTCAACTCGCCGCGGGTCGGTCTCCTTCGACTCATTTGGTCATTCCTAATCTTTGCCCACTTTTCCCGGTGTGCGAACTTTTTCGAACAAAATTATGTTATTTTGATCGCACCACTCATTCCGGTGTATGTTCTCTCCCTCGGAGCACGCTCCCTTGAGCTCATAAGTGCGCTGCTGATCTTGCACAATTTCCAAAGTTGACTCAACTTCTTCCAGTGACAACGAATTTCAGGACAGATAGGCGGGCAAATAAGAATTCAGTAAGTAATGATGGTGACTTTATATATGCATATACATATATATATACGACCATACGTATATATATGTATATAATATAAGTATATATATATATACAGCGTTAGTCGGACGACCCGACAGGTATTTATATTTATATTTATATTTATATTTATATTTATATTTATATTTATATTTATATTTATATTTATATTTATATTTATATTTATATTTATATTTATATTTATATTTATATTNAACACCTGTTTTAAGCAGTGAATAGAATAGGAAACTAATGTATCACAGCACAGCAGGTATAAGGTGAAATATGAAGTGAAGAACCTNTCCTTCTTATGGTGTCGCCCAGCTACGCCCGGCGCTTCTCTTCCCTGCGAGAAATTTGCTATGCGTAAATAACACTTCGGATTTTCCTTTTGCTTTGAAAGCTCTACACCCTCAATATTAGCTCTGAAGTAGTAGCGACTTTTTCTGTGAGATATCTTCGCTGTGTCTGCATAGAATTTCGTATAATATCACAAAGGCGATTATTCAAAGAAAAAAGTATTGATAGACTTCATCGCGGCTCCCTGGGTCCGAACGAACAGTATATATTCACACCCCGCCCTTTGAAACAGAGTTTAGTTCTGCAACCCATCATCAGTGTGCCTATCTGCCTGCTGTATTCCTACCAAGTCGCTCTAGGTCCATTTCGACATTTCTCTGCAAGCCCCGCCCCTTTAGCGCGGAGTCGGTCCGGCCTTGACACCTACCGCAAAGGTTCTCGTCCTGGCGCCTGCGCTCCTACCAAATTTTTACCAATTCACCAATCTAGTTCCACGGTGACAGTAGTTATGAGTTTTCGCTCAACCCTCCCCCCGCTGTGGGCGGAGTCCGGTCCTGCCACCCACCATAAATGTTCACATCCTGCCACTTGTGCTCCTATCAAATTTGAACGCTCTAGGTCCATGTTTAAGTTTTTCACACAAACCCCGCCTCTTCTGGCGGAATGCGGTTCTGCCATCCATCATGAGCGCTCCCATCCTGCCCCCTGTACCTTACCAAATTTAAACGCTCTAAGTCCATGGGGACAAAAGTTATGTTTTTCCGCTCCAACCCCGCTCACTGGGCCACTGTGGGCGGAGTCCGGCCCTGCCACCCACCATAAGTAATCCCATTCTACCGCCTGTGCTCCTACGAAATTAGAACACTCTAGGTCCATGAGGACCACAGTTATGAATTTCCGGTCACACACAAGCACACACACATACACATACACACACACATACACACACATAGCACGTTATATATAGTAGGATATATATACATATACCAGTCGGACCGCCCAGCTAATGCCGGGCTTCCCTACTTCTTATGTAATGCCCGGCTACGCCGGGAATCTCCCTTCTTACGTAATAGGGACAAAGATGGTACAAACAATCTGGGATTTCCTTTCGATGAACAAACTATTTCATTCTAATAATGACTTCGTCAGATAGTACTTGGTCAGGGGATGATACAGAAGGTCGGCTTAGGAAGCATACCTATCTAGGGGTTCCGATCCAATCACATCCTCACTGGTT